CATTATTATGAGATAGTATCTCATAATTATGACTTAGCTATCTCATTATTATGAGATAGTATCTCATAATTATGACTTAGCTATCTCATAATAAGATAGTATCTCATAATTATGATTTAGCTATCTATTATTATGAGACAGCTAAGTCATAATAATGAGATAGCTAAGTCATAATTATGAGATACTATCTCATAATAATGAGATAGCTAAGTCATAATTATGAGATACAAGTTTTATTTTTTTTATCAGGGTGGCAGAAATGGGCTTCCATACTGTCGATATATTTACATACAGTTACAAATATAAAAAACTAATAATAATAATAAAAAACGACGGTTGACTTTTTCATGATGTGTGTCACCTCTTGATAATAAACGATCTATGCTGTAAAGTCACGAAGGTGACGTCGCTTCGACGAGTCGAGCCGACTTTTCCCGAAGCGCTTTCTCCCACCGCCAGTGGAGCTGCTCTCCCTTCAAACAGCAGCTTCCTGCGCAGCTTTGTCCGCCGCGACGCCTTTCCCTTTAAGGCGATGCMGAACCCCGTCATGGGTCACTTATTTATTTAATTTCGCGTCATGTCGGCGGCCAGAAACTTGGGCCGAACAGAAAAACACTGAGAACCRGAGAGACGGTCGGAGGAGGAGAGGAGTCCGGCGGGCGGTAGCAGCATCACACGTTGAAGAGCCGGAGGACCGGGGAGGACATCCGGAGACAAGAGAGACACCTCCTCTTCAGGACGGACATGTCTGCTCATGGCGGGGTAGACGGACTCCGACCGAGGCGCAGCTGAGGTACCCGGGTGACGACGTTTAAATAGAGGTAMGTTCAGTTCAGGAGACCGGGGACTGGCCCGGCCAGGAGTCTCCCTCCCCCGGCCCTCTGAGCTCCTGAGAGGCCGGACTGGTCTTACATTCTGTCCACGTCCTCATGTAAAAAGAAGAAGAAGAAGAAGAAGAAGAAGAAGAAGAAGAAGAAGAAGAAGAAGAAGAAGAAGAAGAAGACTTCATGTGTGGATTTCTCTTTTTTTCTGTTTTTGTCCCCACAGACATGAAAAACACTATCAACTGTCTGCTGCTGTTATAAACAATAACAAACACCTGTRGGCCTGAACCTGAGCCAACCTGTTCATTATTTATTAATTAAATATATATATAACCATACAACCTGAGGAGAAAGGCTGTAAAGACGTGTCTGTTAGTGAAATACAGGCTTATAAATACAGGCTTATAAATACAGGCTTATAAATACAGGGTTATAAATACAGGGTTCCTGCAGATCCTTAAAAAGTCTT